TGTATTTGATTTTAGTTTTCTAAAATCAAATACGACAAAATTGTATTTGATTTTAGTTTTCTAAAATCAAATACGAAAATCTTGTATTTGATTTTAGTTTTCTAAAATCAAATACAAAAATCTAGTATTTCATTTTAGTTTTCTAAAATGAAATACAAAGGGTACAAATGCATAATTATATTGATTGCAGTGTATGTGTGATCAAGTGAATGAGGGATGGAGAGAACTAGAATAGTTGATGTGCAGAAGACATGGGAGGAAGTTGATGTGATTTGGAATGATCCATACTGGTGCATGAAGAGTCTTTAATGCACTTAGGTTATACATTTTCAAAAGGTTTTGTTGTTGTGTGAACCAGCCTACAGTAAAGATGAATGTAATTTTCATTGAACCTACTGTTTGTATATTTCAAATGTTTCACTCAGGGTCAACAGGTATTAGACAATCCATTGATTGCATGTTGGAAGTTTTGTGTTTGTTTCACTCAGGATCAAATGGTATGAGATGAATCCAGATGTGTGGAAAAGCTGGTGGACATGGGACAATGGAGTGAAATACAGAGTGGCAGAGTACTACTCTGGTGACTTGGAATGAAATCATCATGATATATATTGCTTGACTTTATTTCATGATTGTTTAGTTACAGCTTGGTAGTACATCTTCACTGAGGATGGCAGTTCTGGACACTTGGAAGCACTGATTGAATGATATACACTTGGGTGAGTGAATGATTGAAACTTGATGATTGAAACTGGATCCACCCAAGGATGACCAAGAGGGAGTTGGAACTCAAGGGCGCCTATTGGAAAGGTCCCATCATCTTGACCATGTTTACCAACCCAGTCCTGCTATGAACAGCAGGAAGTGGAAGTGAAAAAAGAGCTTGTGGCAGCAGCATCAGTCTTAGCCAGTAAAGGCTCACCAGCATAGTTTCTTTTGCCTATGCATCAGCCTCTGCAGGCTTTGATTAGCTTATACAAGCTCAGTTTGTGTCTAGTTACAATCAGCTGTTCAAATGTTAAGTATATGTGTCAGCCCCTACAGGCGTTGATCAGCTAACCAGCTTTTGATTATCTTAGTGAAAGATAGTATGCACTTTTGATACCTAGTGGGTGTTTGGCTACAAACCAGCTTTTCAAAGTGAAGCTTGCACAATGGCTGCCCCATGGACTGTGGCTGACTTCAAGCAAGAGATAGTGTCTGCTGGGCTGCTTTTGCAGGCCAGGCCTCACTTGAGTGACTTAAAAGAACACATCAAAAGCCAGGTGAAGCACAAGCTAGTGAATTTGGGCCATGTGGATGCCAACAGCCTCATTGACCTCTATGATGTCCTGAAGGGGTGCAACCTGCCTCAAGATGTGAAGGATGACGTCACTGCTACAGTGGACCAGCTGGCCCTTGGATGTCAGGATGAGACCAACAACAAAGTGCATACAGTGCCTCAGCAATGTGACACTTTTCATTTGTACCTGACAGCCCGTGATGTGAGTGAGTTGGAAAGGGTCAGTATGTGGCAGGGGACAGCTACCTTAGCTGCAAGGATGAAGAAACTGGGTATCAAGGGAATGAAAGAAAGCACAAAAAAGGTGGCTACAGCCTTGTTGCTTTACCATGAGCAAAAAAGAGGCAACCAAATGCCTACAGGTGACAGCATTTATGCGCTTTCCCAGCAAATGATGCATGCCCTGGCAAGCTCACCTGAGCCAACACCTATGGGTGTGCCAGCTTTGGCAGTGTATCCAGCCCACCCCAGTGCTTTGTCCAAAGAGCACCTGCAAGCTAGCTATGGGGATGGCAAACCATTGGTGAAGGATTTCCCTGGTTTGGCACAGCTGGTGAGGTACAACACTCCTGTGAGATGCACCAACAAGATGGTGACTGCAACAAATGCAGGAAAGGGCAGTGTTACAGCTGAGTGTGAAGCTTATGTGGCTTTGGCAACCTTGGTGCAAATGTTCCAAGGGAACATGCAACCACAAACTTTGTCGGCCCAAGTGGAAACAGTGCTGAGGCTGTGGTGTGCTGCTGGTTGGCAAGACAGAGTGATAAAGAAACATCACTGGCTACTGCATTTCCCTTCCCATTTAGAAGAGCATGGGATGACAGTTTCTGTTTTACAACAGAGAGAAAACACAAAGATGTGTCCAGGCATGCAGTGAGCATGTACAACACAAAGTATTTTGAAAGAGGTGTCTTGGATGAAGTCATCAACCAAGAGTTCCATTCTTTGGGTGATCCAGCTACTTTGTGCACAGAGCCTGGCCTTTTGAAAGCATCACCTTTGCCAAAGAAAATGTTGCACATTGGGCACAAATTTGGCCATTTGCACAAGATGTGTGTACAGGCCACACTTTGAAGTTGCAGCATGGTGGCAATGTTAGCAAGGGTGATGTTGTACTGCTGCATGGGCCCCCCCACTTGGAAATGTGGGATGGTGAATGTTCGTTTGTCACACGCTGGGCAATGTGTGTCTGTGGTGACACTTTTTCCCCTTGTGGAAATTGGTCCTGGCACAAAGTTTGCAGTGTGGAAGAGTACAGATGACTTGGCAGCGGTACAGTCTGGCCAAATTCTTGCACCAGTTACATATTCTTTGAATGGTGGCACATACACTACTTTGGTTCCTTTGGCTTGGAGGTGTGGAAGCTGATGCGTGAGAGAAAAGGGGTCTGCCGGTTCACAGCTTATGCAAGCTGATGCATGAGAGAAAGGGGTCTGCCAGTTCACAGCTAATACAAGCACATACGTGAGAGAGATCAAAATCTGCCAGTTCATAGCTAATACAAGCTCATGCATGAGAGAAAGGGGTATGCGAGTTCACAGCTAATACAAGCTGATACATGACAAATTGACTTGCAAGTTTCTAAGCTTGTAAAAGCTGCCGCATGTCCTTATTGGACCAACATTGCAACCTGTTCTGGCTAAACACAAGTTCTTTAGTATCTTTTGTGACCAAACATTTGTTGTCATTTTGCTGTTAAAGAAAAATTTCTCTTGGTCAGAAACACTTTCTTCAAACAGTTTTGCTTGTCAAAACATCTTGAAAACACTTTGCTAATTTCGTCTTTCTTCTTAGCTAACTCCTTAGCTAACCCCTTAGCTAAACTGTTACTTAACTAGTTACATAACTCCCTTAACTAGGTAATAATGACTTACTTAACATGCATAACAATCTTAACACACTAGCAAAGCCCAGGCCTATCTAAGTGGGGAATAGAAACACCCTACCGCCGATATATTCTGCAAGGTTCAGATCCATCGTTCAAGTGTTTCCATGGTTCAAGTCCGGTGCCTGGGTTCACCACCCGTGGTCAGGTCCCAAAGCCGATCGAACGGAGGGTCCTACCATAAATAAATGGGTGCTGAGAATGTAGAATTTAGGATACGAAGCAGGTCATTGCTCAAGCCACCTTGTCCAATCAGAAAAGGCCTACGAAAGGCCTGGCGAGCACAGCCTCGTCCCACCTGCGGAGCCTAGTTCAACCGCCCAAACAACCGCCAGTCTCGAGGACACGAGCCACCCTGTTACAGTCAATCTGACCGAAGCCAGTCTCGGTCGACCGGCCTCGCAAATCCTCGAACATCTGATGCCGTGGTCAAAACGATTCCAAATCGCTCTGCAGGTGCGCAGCAATGCAAATGCTTCGGACATCCTCACACGGTCCGAATCTCCCCGTCCGAATCTCTGAGCCACTCTTGGCCTCGTCGCGTCGACCCCCGGGCTCGGCCGAGGATCCAAGGGCTTCTTCCTCCGCTTCGGGCTCCGAGATCAACTTCCCCCGTTCCTCTGGAGGCAGCCATCCTCTACCAAAGAGGCCTGACTCTGCGCG